CACTACAGCCACCTCAGGGTCCATCAGCCCTTGGCTCCAGTGTGCACCCACCCCCATAGGTATCCAATCTAGAGTTCTGGAGTATAGCCTGTGTGAACCTCTGTGTGCTTTATTTTATCTGGGAGGGGGTGAGACAGGATCTCTCTGCATACTTCAGGCTGGCCCCACACTCATGATGTAGCCCAGGACAGTTTCAGCCTCCACAATCCTCCTGCCTCAGCCTCCCGAGTGCTGGGATTACACTGGAGCACCACTGCACCTGGCTGACGTCTGTGTGGTTTAATCTTCTATAAGTCACTTACAACACCTAGAGCCGTGTATACACCATGCACAGCCAGCATTCTGCTCTGTCTAGGGAGTGCTGGCAAGGGAAAGTCTGAGCAGCTCAGTACAGGTGCAGTTTCCTCTACAGTGTTTTCCTGAGCTCGGCTACATGCTCAGGTGTGGATCCAAAGGAAAGAGAGGAAACACGCTAAGCTCCGACATTTCACAAGACCCTGCGTGGGTCTGGTCCAACTTCATGTCCCAGAGCTCCTGGGTAAGGAGCAGAGGACTGCCCTGGGCCTGGTAGGGATGTGTATTGACTGACTTTCTCTGGTGTCCCAGGGCCAGGACAAGTCCAGGGCAGCAATGGAGATACTGCCATTGCTGGATGGAGGCAAGGTCAGGATGCTGTTTTCCTGCTGACCATGTGACAGCACAACACAGGACTTGTCAAAGTCATCTTCAAGGGGGAAGGGGATCCCAGCAAACAGGGGACCCTGGGGACCCGTCACTGCTGAGCAGAAGCAAAGAGCAGCTGCCCCTTAAGTGTGTTTGGTGAGGACACTCTCCCTTCCCCCAGCGTGGGCAAAGCACAAGGAACAGGGGCAGCCCAACCCCCGCCCTGCAGCTGGGAATGTCAGGGGCTTCCCGAGAGGGAAGGATAATGCTTTCTTCCCCAGATGATGTGGGAGTGGAGTTTGAGGCCTGAGATTGTGGGGCCACGTGACCTTCAGCACCTAGCTGAGCTGCTGTGGGCCTGGGCTCCCACAGGGGCCCCAAGTCCCCCCTTGGCTTCCAGTACCTTGGGGACCTGCTCCTTCCAGGACAGGACCTGCAGGCCACAGAGCACATGTGACAGGGCATGCTGTCCAGTGGACCAAGAAGCTCAGTGCAATGACATTGATCTTAGGCCTGGAGACCTGGGAGGGGGCTGATTGCACAGCTTACGGAGCAGCTGGGTGGCGGAGCGCAGAGGCCTCCAAAATATTAGCATCTGTCTTGAGTCCTCTTCAGTGGCACAGAGATGAGGTCCCCTCTCCTCTCTGGGCTCTGTTCTGGTGTCCACATGTGTGCATATCTGAGGAGAGGGGCAGGGGAGTATTAAGGTGGTGGTAGCCTTTAACACTTAGATAAACTGCTCAGAAGAATATGCACATCTTGAGAGCCGATAACAACCCCGGCTGGCTGGAAATGTCTAACTCACTCCCTGTAGCTTGTGGAGGTGTGACTCATGCCTTGGACATGGCCAGCACTGTGCAGGTCGCCAAGGATAAGCGATGCTTTTCTTCCAGCGCATGACAGCAGTGGGACACATGGCTCGGAAATGGTCGCCTAGCACCTGGCACTGGACTGCAGTGTAGTCACTGCAGGGGACACAGTCCTCCCCAGGAACGGCTGAAGACTCTGCCTCGGCCAAACAACTTAAAGATAAACAGCAGATGCAGGGTTCCCTCTCTCACGATGCACTTCCAGGGCAATGAGGAAAAGTTTGAGTAGACCACAGCTGCGGTGGTGCCTGTGCCGCAGAGGTTACTGGATCCCTAAAGCAAACCACCCTGCATACCTGTTCACCCTCGGGATCTCACCCTATCTTCCTGGCACCTGCAGTCCCAGCCACAGCCTTGGGGACCTCAGCGAGGGCCTAGACTCTGCTTTTGAGGAGCCCCTTGTGAGCGACACAAGGTGAGACTTGAGACATAAGGAGAGAGAAAGGTGAGACTTTCTCTTTCCTCTGCGAAAGACACTTTCTCCTAGACAGCCACATGGGCCCTGACTCGCTCCAGGTGGAACGGCCAGGGGTTCTTCCTGGGGACAGCTGGTGCCGATAGCGCCTGATGCTGTTTCTGCTATCATCATCTCCTGTAGCTTCGATTCATGAACTCAGCTCCTTGCATTTTCTGGAGTCACCCAAATCCCTTGGGGACCACATCTGCCTGGACACTCTTGCACCTGCTGCCTCCTGTCGCTCCCAGGGCTTGGATCACAGGTTGCCGCCTCCATAGATCCTACCTCTCCTGCTTTGTTCTGCATAACATTGGCCACCATCAGGCCAGCAGTGGAGTACGTCCCCTGGTTATTCTGTCCCCCACAGTGTGTGGCTGTGATTATGACACAGTCCACACCTGGGAGCTCTGGGGTGCACTGGCTCCCTGGAGCACAGGTGCTTTGGTTCAGTAACTGCTTAGTCAGTCGGTGCCCGGAATGGCTCCTTCCAAACATGTCTTCCAACTCTGTCAGTATCTGGAAGACTGGCCTCCTCCAGAAAAACTGCTGGTCTCTATTTTTGTACCAGGTGATGTAGTGAGCTGTAAATTAACTCTAGCTGCCAAATGCTTGAGAAATAAAAAGAATAGAAAATGAATGGCGAGAGATCAATAGAATATATTACTTTCTTCAGAAGTAAAAGAATTGGTAGAGTTTATTTTTTAAAAATTTAGAATGAGATGCAGCTGCTGGGAAGTTTTAGGAAGTGAGCACTGCTGTCCTGTGACAGGGACAGCTCAGGCGTTTGCTCCTCGGTGGTGCTGTTTGCCTTCATGGTTTTAATTATTGAAATTCATGTAGCATGCTGCTCTTTGGTGCTCGTTAAGGATACAGCAGAGAGTCGACCGTCCTGGCGCTTTCTTGAAGCATTTATTAATTTTTTGAGCTCAATGTCCTGGACACAACATTCCTAGTACTGCAAATATTGCCTTAAAACATTTCTGCAGCTCTTTAAATTATATGTCATGTCAGTAAACACTCACTGCTCAGACTTCCAGTCCGGAAAAAGAACTTGGAAAAAGAGAGGAGTTAACATCTGCAAATTATTCCACATTAAAGTTTTTCCAAAGTAAGTGGGTTCCTGTAGGGCAGTTGCTTCAACTCTTGTGGGCTATTTGAAGTAAATGTATTCAGTGGAGTACATAAAAGCTGTGGTCTGAAAATGATTCAGAACGATCTTTTCATCTAAATGGCACTCTGTATGGAAGCAACTTTAATACAGGATTTATTTGTGGACATTGGAGCATTGCGATCAGAATGACTTAGCTTTAGTCCTGGCGATTGTAATGTGAATATGAGTTTACATCACACCCTGGAAAACCGTGTCACTACGCAGGATGTAGGGGAGAGACTGCAGTGCTGGAAACGCATACTTTTCTAGGCTTTTGAGAAATGATACAGCAGCGTCCAGACAAAGGACCCTAAAGTGGTCCATTGTTTTACTGCTCCCAAGCCACACTGCCCCCTGCAGCTCTTATCTGAGACACTGCAGGTCACTTCAAATCAGAGAGAATCAGCGCTCAGTGATGGCAGATTCTCCTGTGCAGCCAGAGGACTGTGCTCCTGGGTCCCCCCTGCACCCATCACCTGTCTCTGCATGTACTGAAGAGATGAGTGTGTGTGGAATGAACAGAACCAGATGTGGCTTTGCATCTGGAATGAGGGAGGTTCCGCCAGGCAGATCCAAGGTGCGTCTGGGCTGAGGAAACCACAGGCTGCAGGGATGTGTGAGGCTGAGCACCGTGTCTGTGCAGTCTGGTGGCTGGAGCAAGGTGACCACCTTCTCAAGCTCTTAGCAGCTCCAGGCAGTTGCACTGAGAATGCAGACGATCAGTGTCAAGTGTGTGACCTGTTTAATGCCTCCCGTGCAGCGCGGACCCAACATGTCAGAACCCCTGTGACTCTGCAAGCTGAACAAGCTTCATTCCTCACACGTGTGAGCCAGGCATCTAGAATGTGAGAGGTGAGTGGCTGCTGCCCTGTACATGCGTCCAACCGAGGTCTTCATGAGCTATGTTTCCATGGGGAACCCAGTAGACCCAAGCCACCATCAGTGAGGAGCCAGTGAGAGGAAGCCCTGTTACACGATGGTCTCTATAGTTCTGAGGTCACAAATGGCCCTGAGATGCTGCGTCTGAGCACCACAATTCCTCGGGATAAATCAGTGACTCAGACTGGAAGTGAAAGTCTGGAGAGATGGGAGGCGGTGGTCAAGGCTGTGGGATTTTCAGGAGGGGAATCACCACACAGCCACAAGGCAGCATGCTGGCCACACTTGTCCCCAAGGAGAGGTGGAAGAGCCCAGTCGGTGTCCACACCATGGCTCAGTCCACAGTCAGGTAGAAGCCTGGAATGACGGTGGTCATGTCCCCCCGATAACCTCATTAAGTACCATCTGAGTTTTGTAGTAGAAGATGTGGTAGAATTAGGGTCCAAGTTTTAAAACATGAGACACACTGTGGACAAACATTCCCATGTCACCAGGACTTGGGTGCTTTCTTCTTTTTTTTTTTTTTTTTAAAGCAACATTTGCTTTACTCTCCGTGTGAGTAGGAGAAAGTGAAGCAGGGTAAAGGAAGCAGCTGCACGTATTTTAACTTTACCTAAGGGCAAAGGCAAAGCCCTAAATAGGCCCACGAAATTATGAGCAGAAGTGCAACACCTTCATACGCACACTGTTAGAAAGACCAGATTGGAGTGCAAGGCTGTGGCTGTTGAACGTGAAGATTATTATGGATGGATAGAACCCTGTCCTGTTCAAAACAAGCCACCCCCAAAACAATCTGGGTACTGAGAACTGACTGCCTTAGAAATACAGGTGCTATGCAGTGTGGGAGAAGTATTAAATCAGAGTGGCCAGCTAAATAATGCCTCAGTGGGCCCAAAGCATAGTTCATGTTTTCAGTTAGAAAAAAAATTACACACACATACACACACACACACACACACACACACACACACATATATATATGTATGTATAAATTCTTTTTTATTATGTACCAAGGATCAAGATCATGTCCTCATACTTGCCAGGCAGGTGCTTGTATCGCTGAGCTAAACCTCCAGCCCAAATTTTTTTCTTAATTTTGATAATTTTGTTTCCCAAATACTAGAATGAGGAAAAGTAGACACCTTCTGCACTGAATCCACGCAGCAGTCCCATGTTCATGGAGCAGGCCCATTTGTCACTAAAGGATTTGCTGTATATTACCTGCCATGCAGAAGTCTTCTGGCCTTATAATATTGTGAACAAAGCAGAGAAATCTGTCATTTTTCCCCTGGTGGCTTTGTCCTCCACTTGATTTGAATGCTGCTGAACATCTCGTTTTTCCTAACCACAGGGATCCTTACGAGGCCGTCCTGGTCCTGAAAGTTGGTGATGGTGGTGGCTTCTTTGGTTCTGTTCTTACAACCTCGGATTCTGCCCTCAAAGGAGAGCTGAAGTCCTTCAGCAGCGCGTTAACTGACAGTCTGCTGTCCAACTTCTCCTCAGGCTTTACAGCACAAATCCTCTTTGAAACAGAACTACAGCACATGGAAAGAAAGGGCAGTGCAGCCACAGTTTGAAGACCAGAGAGACACTATCTGGGAAGGCAAATTTGCCATACAAGCAGCAAAAAAAAGGCTAATCCGATCGTTCTCAGCCCACCACCCACAACGCCCACAGTTTGCTGGCCAGGGGGGCATCCTGAGCTCCTGTGAGGTTCACCTACTGGTCTTGGATCAGCTTCACAGAAAACTACCTTTTCACCTTTTCCAGTAATTTACAGTCATGGTGCCCACTCCAGGTCCAACTTCCAGCCCACATCAGTTGGTGCAAGGGGTTAGGGTTAGGGTTAGGGTTAGGGTTAGGGTTAGGAGAGGTGTGCACTGGTTCACACAGACAAGAATGTGGCCCTCAAAGACGCTGACAGGAGCCCTGTGTACTTTGACCCCAGAAGATGCCGAGGAACAGTGTGAGACATGGTGCCTTTGGGGTGCACAGGGGCAGGCTTCTGGGGTTTGTTGTTTGGCGGTCCCAGGCTCTGAAAGGTACTGTAATCAATACACAGAACAAACCACTTGTCATTAGTGGCCTTAAAGTAAGCCATCCTCTAGGAGAGCACCTCCTGTATCTTCTGATATTTTCATTCGACCAAGCCATGAAGTTTACAGCGTTGAAATGCCGCTCTGTCCAACTTCCAAAGCAATAAACCCCAGTGCGAACTGGGTGTTGCCCCCAAAGGGTGGTAAAAAGAGCAGCATCCACTTTGTTTCCAACGAGCTGGAGACCACTGCCCAGTACTTCAGCAATCTCTGCAGGGCTGCTGTTTTGATCTGAAAATCTTGGAACCATCTGGAACCACCTAGAATGTTCCAGCCTGAACCCCCAGCAGCACCTACTGTAGTCAGCGCTACTCTTTGTACCTGGGCCGTTTTGAAGTAACACTGGAGATCTGCCTAGGGTTTTGATCCAGAACAGGATCAGCTGAGGAGAAACAATTTGAAAGCCAGAAGAATTGTGTGACGTGTTGGTGTGACCCTGAAGTAGGGGTTTAGTTAAATGACTGGGATCCAGGACTGGAAAGATGTTTCCAGTGGACGTTCCACCAATCTGGTTTTCTCTGTGCCCAGAGCCTTTACCCTCATTTCTGGTGCCAAAGGACTCAGCCGGCACCAGTAATGGGGCCCAGGCTCTGCCCTGATCCAACTTCCCTGATCCCTCAACCCGGGAGGTGGGAGAGATAGAGGCTGTGGTGTAGACCCTGGGCTTGGAGTCCACTGGGATGGAAGGAGCAGCTCCCACAAGGGCTGAGAAGCACTGGGACAGGAAAACCCATGCCCACTGTGGTAAGGCAAAGCCAGGGTTGGGGGGACAGAGGAGCAGACGTCCTCCCATGAGATGGATGACAGATGGGTGTGACATTGCATCTCCTCACCCTGCTGGCCGAGCACCACTGCAGCCCCTTGAGTCTGAGCAGCAGGACCGTCCACACCATCCCCCAGGCCCCTTACAAAAGGCCCCTGCTGCACCCTGCGAAGCACACAGTGTCCTCATGATACAGACAGGTAAACTGAGGCTGAGCCAGAAAGAGGCTGAGCCGCAACACAGCCTCAAGTGCTCAGGGTCCACGCACCCCCGTCCTCCTACCATCCTGAGTCCACCCCTGGGAAAGAGGGGTGCAAGGGCTAGGTCAGGTCAGGCTGGGATCCTCCATGCAGCCACATGTCACTGGCTCTGAGTCCTTCCTTGGGACAGAAGGCAGCACCTCCTCAGGGCGGGACTTGCACCAGTGTCTGCTCCTGGGTTCCCCAAATCTGTGAGCCTCTAAGTGGCAGACATCCTGTGGTGGCTCCTCCACTTATCCCTGCTAAGTCTGGGCTCAGAACAGGCCGACACCAGCCACATCCCTTGCCCTCATCCTGGGATCTGCCTAGGCACTTGTCCTGTGGCCCTGCTGCCCCTGCCCATCTCCTGCCTCCCACTTAGTGGCAATGCAGGCCTCTCCACCTGAGAGGAAGGAGGCTCCTGCTCCATGAGCAAAGCCCGCTCCGGAGAGTGGCCAGCCCTGGGGGGACTCCAAGTGCTAAAGGTTTTTCCAAATGGTTTTCCCCACTGGACACAAAAAATTGTTTTTCATTCGAGAAAACCCCTAATCCAAAGGAACATAAAACTAAAATCATTCCTAGGCCCATCCAGCAAAGATAATTCTTCATTTTCCCTCCACAGTGTAATAGAGATTCTGGCACACTTTGCTGCGTACTGAACGATGCTTGGCCAGGTATTTTGCTGCTGTTCCACATCCTTCTACAGTGTTTCCTGCCTGACACAGGCCAGGGGTGGCGAACCCATGGCAAGGTTTACCATCACCAACCTAGGCAGTTTGGCAGGAGACGCACTAACCACAAAACCTCTTTTCAGAATCATGAGAGATCACAGTAATAATTAGGGCACTGGCTGCGTTAACATTAGCATGCAGAAGTTCACCCAAGCTACCAGCCCTCCATGGAGCACAAAACGCTGAGGGGATAGCTGTCAGCACTACACACCAGCCTGGCTGGTGTGAGGGGATGGGAGGCAAGTTCTTCGGCAGAGTCAACCACCTCTCCTAACCAGGGGAGCAGGATTGGTAGCACAGAGATGCAGGAAGCGATCTTTACAATATGCTTACGAAACCCTAACCCTAACCCCGGCCTGCACACCCCACGCTGCACCCACAGCCTCTCCTCTGTCCCATTCTCCTCTGCTGGGGGAGCTCCCTGTGACCTGGGTGGTAGCCTGGACACCCTAGCTGCTCCCCAGCTTAACTCTGCCCCAGTGCCCACGAGGGGACCCTGGCACCTCGGGTCCCTTCCTAAGCATCATGTAGAGTGCTTACCTGAGCTGGAGTGCCAAGGATGGGAGCAGAAACATCACATGGTGACAGCAGGATCACCACACATGGGGGGTGGGGCTTTGCCTGCATACCTGCAAACACAGGGGCACACAACTGTGTGCACACACACACAGAGCTGCAAAAGAATTTCCCCTTTTCTCAGTCCTAAAACTCTGGAGCCCTGATGCTCCTGCCCTCATCGGTTTTGTTCAGCTTGGGGTGGGGGCAGGGTGGGTGGGGACTCTCTCCAGACCAGCATGGAGGCCATCACTGTCCTCAGCTGTAATTTTTTTTTTTTCTCCTGACAGGGTCTCACTATGCAGCTCAGGCTGGCCTTGAGCTCACTCTGTAGCCCAGGCTGGTCTGCCTCAGCCTCCCAAGAGTTGGGACTACAAGCATGAGCCACCACACCCATCTGTGTGAACAGAGTTTTCTTTTTTTGTCTGCTGCTACTTCAGTGACACGATGAAAGCTTGTGTTAGTCTCAGGGGCTGCTCTATCCTGACCTATCAGGAAAACTGGAAAAGAATAAAAGAATCAGGAAGCACAGAGGACACCCAATGGTGAGTCCAGGAAAGGGCGGTTTCCTGACTGAGGGGTCACGCACGGTGCTGAGAGGTGACAGGGACCCTGCCAGGGGGCTGCCTCTCACTGCTGGTCACAGAATCAGCAGTGCCTTCACCAGAGTCACACTGCTGGGAACATGGGAAACCCTGTGCTCTATGAGCAGTCCCTGGGCCTGTGCTCTCTGCTGTGTGGGCAGAGTCCTGTGGACACTGGGGTCCTGAGCATACACAATAACATAGGAGCCCATCTCTCAGCAGAGGGCCTTGCCCTCAGCCCAGAAGTCCCTCAGGGTTAACCTCGGGGACTGTGGCTGCCTAAGGCTTAGGCGCGGGGAGGGGACATCCAGCTCTGACAGGACCCGACAAGATGCTCTGGAACGGCCAATGGCCATTGGTGGCCACCTCAGTACACAGGTTTACTCTACAGGGGCTGTCCTGAGTCTGAGTCCCCACGGAGGGCTGCATGCTACCCAGGCCAGCAAAGACTGGCTACTAGGAGCAGAGGAGCTGATGGCTGTCCCCAACTGCGGTGGCAGCTGGCGAAGGACCACAGGGAGAGCTGCTGCCAGCCCAGGTACCAGGGTGGCTTTTCTCTTCTCCTTCTCACCTGCTGGCCAGCAGCTCCCTGCTGGCCTCAGGGTACAGCCTCGCCGGCACCTTCTGCACAGCACTCACCACGCTTGCAGCTCACCCCTTTCTCCCTGTCTCTAAGGGAGGGATGGATTCTCTGTCCTGTTCCCATCCTGTGACAGGGCCTGATGCGGCTCAAGGACCACAGAGGTTCTGAGAGGGTCCCAGCACAGCCTGGTGCCCACCGCAGATGTGAGAGCATCTCTCCCTCTCATCTTGGTTACCTCGCCTTACCTCTTCAGCCGAGAGTCTGAAGTGAAAGGGAAACCCGTGCCCTGCTCATGTGGAGGAGGTGGTGGAAAGGTTGGTAGCTGAGTGGAGCAGCACACTCCCCGCAGAGGCGAGCCTCCCCTTCCTGCACTTCCCGTGTTGAAAGGAGGAGCTCAGGAAGGGGAGCTGGCCACAATGGCCCTCAGAGCCTCAGAGCAGATAACTCCGCCCTGATTCTCCGGCTGGATGTGTATCTGAGGTTGGCCCTGGTTGGAGGAAGGGCTCCCTGGGCTGGGACCTGTAAGGGTGTATTCCTGTCCCTAACACCCTCCTCATACTGGCTGTGGCTCGCTGGCTCTCTCTGTCTCTGTCTACGTGGAGCAAACAGCTTCCCTCCAAGATTGTGTCTACCTGGGAGCATGGGCTGCACCCTCCACAACTGAAACCATGAGCCCAAATCCCCTTTAGGTCCTGGATGTCAGACATTTTGTCCCAGCGATGGAAAAGTGGCTAATCTACCGGGCTCCCTAGGGAGCAGGGTGATGAAACCTTCACAGTGGGCTTGGCCAGCCCCCAGGGGGGGAGTCAGGGGGCTGCGATGGCCACCATCACTGCTGTGCCCCCAGCTGTGCCCTGGGAACAGAGCGTGCAGGAAGCACCCAGGTGCCCTTTAGGGGGCCCTGACAATCCCAGCTGCCAAGGTCACCTCCACTCTAAAAACCTAAGGGGCTGAATCCTTAGCAGAGGGTTAGGTTCTCCACAGTGAGTGGCAGATGAGCACCCTCCCCTCCTTTGTGTACCACCAGCACTGTTCCTCGTTAGGGACATCTCGGCTGAAGTAAGTGGCCCCTGTGTTGCCAGGTGTGAGTCTATGGCGATACAGAATCTTCATCCACAGCCCTCATGGCTCCATGTCTCCTGGTACAGTCTACGGGACCTCCTCTTCCTGCAGAAAGTGTCCCTGCCCTAGATGACTCCTCCTGCCCCTTTCCAGTCCCTGGCAACCACGGGTGTTTTCTCCTATTTCCCCTGCCCAGCGCCCCCGGGCTGGCAGCCCACAGCCGGAGGTTTCTCCCAGTGGCTTCTATGGCTGTCTCCCGAGCCTCAAGGCTGGGTGCTTCCTCTCTTTTTATTGCAGATTAACACCTGCAGGGATCCCAAGGTCTGGGGATTTTCTTCACCTTTTAAATAAAGAAAGGAACAACTTTGGAGGAAGGTGGTTAAAAAGAAAAAAGAAAAGAAACTGCTTTCTTCAACCATTAACTTTAAACTTTTGTGTTCCTTCTCGTTTGCCTTGTTCCAAAATAACAAAACACTCTCTGTACACGTGAGGAGGCACCATGGTGTAATGGGTCCATGAGTCCCTGCTTCTGCCCAGAGCACATTCAATAGTCTATGACCTGGTTTACTGAAGCCACTCCATCCCCAGATAGACTGGAGCGGCACAGCTCATGAGTGATGTCCCTGGGGTATGTGCTGAGGGAGAGAGGTTGCTAAAGCCATTTAATGTGCCTGTCCGTCTGCCCTGTGCCAAGCCTGCCAGACCTGACAGGAGCAGACAGGGACCTGTGTGAGCCCGGGAGTGGACACAGCACAACCATGCCTGCGCCACTGTGCACATATTGCCCTGGGGAGCACCAAGCCCTGCTCTGGGGTCAGAGAAGCCAGGTCCTTTGGCAGGAGCTGCATGAGTGGCCTCTGTCCAGCCAGGGCTGCTTAGCCACCTTCCCTGGGGACAGCTCAGGTCTCAAGATGCATGTGGAGTTGCAGCACACAGGTCACACGCCCGTGCTTCCAATAGAACATGGGAGCCACAGGACCCCATAGCACTGGCTGGGAGCCACAAGTGGGCACATAGGAAACCCAAGCAGAGGCCAAGGTGCAGGAGCCCAGGGCTTGGGGAGGGCGGTGGCCGGGTTCCAGTGGCCAGGTCACACCAGCCGGAGCAGACCAGCGATGATGCCCTCAGTCAGCCGGCAGGCCCATGGTAGGGGAAGCACTGAGGACAAGTGTCATACAGAGTCAGGGGGCCAGGGCTCCCTGATGGCCTCACACCTTCCTCCTTGTGGGCCTTCCTCTCTTCTTGGGTGAGAAGAGATGGAAATCTGCACGGTACCCAAGGAGGCTGTGGCTCAGGGAGTCACCAGCCCCCCCTCGCACTGTGCAGCTCATACACACATGCAGTGGTCCCAAGCCAGGCTCAGCGCCTGGGCCACGGTCGCCCCAGCCCGCAGGGTCTCATGCTGCTGTCAGACCCCAGCCTCGGTCTCTGCAGCTGTTCTGTGCGTCTCAGGCAAAATTTAGCCGCAAAGGAAAATCAAGCCAAACCCAGTCAGTGTGGAGCATTTCCCACACCCGAGGCTCCTGAGCCCCTGGCACTGTTCCAGGGCCAGCAGGGACAGTGCAGGGCCTGCAGGAGCCCTCAGGGACACTGCTCACCTGGGGTCAGAGGGCTGCCGGCCTCCACAAACCAAACCCTGGCTGGCTGTGGCCATGTGGCTGCTGAGCTCCCAAAGCCAGCAAAGTGTGCATCCAGCGGGCAGAAAGGACAACGTGGAGACAGGACAGAGGGTCAGGAGGCCATGGCCAGCAGAGCCTCAGCTCAGCTCAGCAGTTTCACCAGGACTGCGCTCCCATGCTTTGGGGTACAGCTGCGGTTTCCCCTGAAATGGTGGGTTTTCCTTCCTGGAGATAAGAGTGACATGAACCCGGAGTCACCTCCAGGACAGAGGTCACTGCAGTCCTAGAGAAAGCTATCGAGTCCTGAGTCCTGGTTCACAGAGGGCCCAGAGCCTGAGTCCTACTTCCTTCCTTGCCGTGGGAACGGTGGGTGACAGTTGTCAGATGAGGTGGCAGGGGCCTCAGCTGGGGCCTCCAGGAGAGCGTGGGGCCAGCTACTGATGCTTTGTGAAGGACACTGAGCCCGCACATGGCAGACAAAGCCTGAGAGCAAGCATTCTGTGGGCAGGTTTTCCTTTTTTGTGGTGGTGGGGGGATATTGGGGCTCGAACTCATGACCTTGTGCTTGCCCAAAAGACGCTGTGTATCTTCCTTTCATTGGGCAGAAACGGGGGCAGGCACCCTGTTTCTAGAAAGCAGGGTAGGTGGGGTACTCTCCTGGAGGTCAGCAGTGGGTGGCAGGGGGTGTGGGGTTCAAAGGTGACCGCTTGCAGCTCCAAGTGGCACCTGCTCTCATGTGGGTGTCACTGGGGGCTCCAGGAGGTGATCACAGTGCACCCTGGGAGGCTTAGACCAGAGGAGACCTGGAGGATCACAGAGTGCCCTAGTGTAGTGACAACCTGGAGACAGCTGAAGGCACTGAGGTCGGAAAGGAGCAGGGGCAGTGAACCCCGGCCCCACCCTGACCTTGACCCCAACTTTGACCCTGACCCTGCCCTCAGCCCTGAGGCCTTTCCTCTCTCCATGGTGTTCATGAGAAACAATGTCTTCGCTTCTGTTTGCAACTCCCTCGATATCAAACATAGGTCATCACATTGCTGTACTGTGGAGCCCACTAACGAGGTTCACAAATAAAATTTCAATATTTAAAAATTAAGTTGCCAGTCCACTCGGGGTGCTTACACTCACTGTCTGCTCAGAGGTCTTCTGTGCTCTGCAGGCCAGAGCCACAGGGACTTTCCAGGTCCTCTCAGCAGGTCTGCACTGAGGACCTTCCCTCTCTGCAGTCCCTGTAATCCTTCCTGAAAAATCACCTCCGAGACTTTCAAGTTCACTCACTGATGAGGTACTATATTACTTGTTTATTACACCTCAGCTTTTAGTGTAAAAAACCAAGCATTTACTTAGGTAAATCCCTTTCTAGGGAAATTCCATAGCTAAATTCATATACACTGGTTAAACATTTTTACTTCCTGGACTAAATGACGGAAAACTTTTTTTCTTTTTTTGGCTAGGAAGGATTGAACCCAGGTCAAATCATACCCTTAACCCTTTTTATTTCTTATTTTTTAATTTCAAGACAAGGTCTTGCTAAATTGCCTAGTCTGGCTTAAACTGTGACTTTCTGCCTCAGCCTCAGGGGAGCTGGGATTATAGGCAGTGGCCATGTGCCCAGTTATTTTTGAACTTTGCTTGCTTTCAAAGGAGTACTTTAAATTACTCCTACCAAAAACTGTATTGTTTAGTTTCATGCAGAACCAGCTTTCTTGGTAACCAGCTTCCATGACTGCTACCTTTATTGGTTTATTTTTATATGTATTTTTCGTTTGAGGCAGGGAACGTTGCCCAAAACCCTGGGTGAAGGCTAGGTACAAACCTAGATGCTCCCTTCAAGCCTCATGTGGTTCTCAGTGGGGAGTTTCCAGGCTGGCTGGAGCAGGGTGTGTGAATGTGGATTGAGGGTGTGACACTGGGGTTAGGGGTGTGGAGGACAGGATGGGAGCCCCACCCTGGGTGTGGGTGGCACTGATCAATAGGCGTACTTCGTCAGGTCATCAATAGATTGTACTGGAGAAGAGGGGGAGGACAGGCTCCTTGCTGCTGCTGCCGCCGCCGCTGCCGCCCACCCTGCTGTGGACTCTCTCTTCTGTGACACCCTCTACCCTGCTGCACTGCCTTGGATCCAGCCAACCTGGAACTGAAATTCTGCAGACTGAGGGCCAAATAAATGTCTCCTCCTTTAACTCTGGGTGTTGGGTGTTTTGACTCAGAAGCGAGAAAGGTAACCGAGACTCCTGGGGACTGTGGGGTGACCATGCATCTATGCTGCTGACTCCCGGCCTGCAAAGCAGCCACAAGTAAAGAGGGAAGGTGTTTTGGTGACCAGTCCTCAGATCCCAGGCTCTTTCCAAGCAGGGAAGAAATGTCACAGTGTAGAGGACACTCAGCCCACACAGTGACTTCCTGTTAATTACAAAAGAGGTACCCAGTCCTTCCGCCAGGGCTGTCTGGGGAGCCAGGTCCTCTTCTACCCTAACCTGCCATGTCCATGATGGGCCTGGACAGTGGCTTAGTGGGGAGGGTGTGCAGGGAGGGCGAACCTCATCAATCGTGGCTTTTACTCTGGACAGAGTTCTGGGGAGGTTGCTCACCAGCCAGATCCCCAGGAGCCTTCCAGCCCCACCCACAGTGCTTGGCCAGGAGCCCACCGTCCCAGTTCTGCCCATGGCCTCACTCTGTAGGAAACATCTCCTCAT